TATATTCCATGCAAAAAGTGCAAGGTTACCTTTCATCTCCAGTGTTATTTTTTTTTTCATCTTTTCAAATGAATTTTATTTTTTATAACAATATAAACCAACATCTCTTAGGTTGCTGGAGAAAGTAGGAAAAAGAAGTCATAACATTTATAAATTATATTCCTTTCCAAGTTAAAATCTATTTTATTACAATTGTTAAGAGTGAAATCTGAGTTACAATTCAACTCAGTTTGCATAGTTTTTGTTATGTGCCTTCAAATCATTTCCAACTTGGGGTCGAACTCTGAGGCTGAGAGAGTATGGCTTACCCAAGGGCATCCAGCGGGTTTCTATGGCCAAGTGGGAATTTGAACCCTGGTTTCCAGAGTCATAGTCCGATGCTCAAACCACCTGATGGCTCTCAGGTTGCATAGTACAATAAAGAAAATTTTATTTTGCCAATTTAATTCCAAATATCTGAATTTAGACAGGATATAAATATGCATCTCAAATAGCAAATGGCTGAGAAGAAACCCATCTGAGAACCTGGAGCACTGACAGCCAGAAAATACTAGACTAAAAGCATATGGTATAAGCCTGCTTTACAGTCATATCAAGACCAATTCAAAGGTCTGCCTAACACTGCTTCCCCTTTCCGCCAAACTGTGGGTTTGGGATTTCTTTATTTGTTTTCTACCAATATTTTAAAAGAAAACAATGCTTATTTGCAATAATTTTCAGCAAATTTTCTGACTGATATGAAATGAGGAGACAGAAGTTTATTTGCAGGGAGGAGGCTGCCAGTATCTAGAGATTACAGAATACAGAGAGCTGCATACCAACATTTCAGCAAGTTAGATTTAAACATTCCACACATATACTCTCCATTACCGGGTACCTGGAGATCACTGAATTACAGTATACTTCATAAATGTTGTAAACGTCAAGCATATAGAGACCAAACACAGCATATTTGTAAATAAATGGGCCAATCCACATTTGCATGAACATTAACATAACTTGGTGTTTTGGCAGTAAATATTCAATACCAAATAGAAATGCATAGTGCTTAAAATATCTTAATGTGGAAATCCTGACTGGGTTTATAAATCTATATGGCAAGTTCCACATTCAAGTCATCACTTCATGCTGTAGTGACCTATTCACATATATGAAGCAGGCCAGTACTGACAAATATGCAAACACATATAGAGTTGACAACATTGATAGCAAAATTCTTACTGCAAGCCATCTTAGTTATCCCTTTTGTTGTGGTAGTTTTCAAATAGATAGCCATGTTTTTCTGATTCATTGTAAAATGAAATAGGAGTGAGGGGAAGAAACCACAGCAAAACTCAATATACTGTAGCTGTGGCTATTATATGTCTAACTCTGAAAAAGTAACTGACTGCATGACTGACTAGTTAAAGTGGAATGATAGTACAACCATTTTGCAGTTTTGAAAGTCTATGGCTGCCAGATGGCCTTACATACTATGAAGTAGTAGCAGTTTTCCAAGCATCCTAGACCTCCTAGTATCGTAGCTTTTGGAATACAGTGATGTTGACTAATAAGATCAGAGAATCAGAAAGATAATTTATTATAACCATTTTAATCATAAAATGAAGGCAAAGAAAACAATCCAGTCAAAAGTCTCCTCATTTAATCTTTCATGAAGATTAATCTAGAATAGCTAAATTATTTCAACCTATACTACTGAAATGAAGGCAAGTTTAAAAAAAAAAGAATAAAATCAAGTGATAGCTGACCTAGGATAGCTGACCCCCATGCACAACTGATGGGCTGAATGATTGTCTAAAATATTAATATTTGAAAAATAGGTCCTGAAAATTGAGAATTGGATTCCAGGGAACTTCTCTTCATCTAGATGAAGAGTAAATGCCTGGAATCCCACAAACTATATCCTGTATTTTCCTGTTGCAGTCAAAACTGATCAGGAATAACTAGATTTTGGGATTAGAGCTAAAAGCATGAAGTCACAAAGGAAAAATTAGTACTGTGCTGTATCTCTAAATGGAGGCACAAATCATGGCATGGAAAATTCACAAAAGAGAGGGTGAGCACTTACATATTGGATGATATTTCCATTTCTGCTCATTTCTCTTTTGTCGAATAATATTCCGTATGCGGATTATGCAGTGGTGCCCCTGCACTGAGTGTCACCCAGTGCAGGGTGTGTGTGTGTGGAACGACACTTCTGTCATGGAGACCTCCAGTGGGCAAGACTTCTGCGATGGGACCTCCAGTGGGCAGGGACTTCTGGGGTGGCATGCACTCCCTCTCCCTATGCTGCCCCCCATGCACCACTCCACCCATTTTCCTGTGGGCCCTTTTCCCTCCCTGCCTGCCCACCCAGCATCTTGTTGTGGCACCTGAAAGGAGGCTGAGGCTGGGATGCTTCTGGTGGGTCTGGAGCAACCAGGCTTGCTGGCTCAGCAAATGTTCCTTCTCCTTCGTTCTCCAGGGTTTCTCATCTAGGTGCCAATGGGGCATGGAGTGGCACGTGGGGGGTAGAGCAGGTGCACAGGGGCAGAGCTAGTGTGTGCGGAGGGGAGAGTGGCGCATGTGGGGAAGAAGCATGGAAGACGGTGGTGGGGCTGACTGGGTGTCACCCCCCCGTGATGCTGCTGGGATTATGTGACATTTGGAAACAATTATCCTTGCTGTATATTTACTAAGCCATAGGACGTTTTCACACGGGGCTTTAGGAGGACGCAATCCTACCACCGTCCGGCCCCACTCCGGCTCCTTTGGCAAATTTTTCACACGACGTCGCAGCGAGCCCCGCCCCATCCAGCGCCATCCCCGGCGCTATCCTGCGTCAGTCCGGGGCTTGCTGCACGTGTTCACACGACGTCGCAGCAAGCCCCGCCCCAGCCCCTCCCCATCCAGCGCCATCCCCGGCGCTGGCTGGCATCATCCCCGGTGTTTGTAATTCCTTTTCTTAAAAGGAATTAGAGTTGCTGCTGCCGGAAGCAATCAGGAGTCATTCCGGCGGCTGCTGTTTTCACCGCCAGAATGGCTCTTCATTGCTTCCAGGCGGCTTTAGACCCATGCATTTGAAAATGCCCTTATTCTGTTTTTGAATATGAAGTTTATAATACAGTCACTGCCTGAATGATTTAAAATGGATAAGAAAATATTTCCAGTGATTTAAAGTGGTTAAAACCATTGTATGGTTTGGAGACTGTAAGGTCTGAATTTGAATTACAATTGTATACAAATAATGATAGCTTAAGAGCTAAAGTTTATAAGTGGTTTTTAAGAATTGAGATTGATGATGAACAAGTAAAAGAATGTATGGTAAAGTGGGCACAAAATATTGGTCACAATATTCAAATGAACTAGTGGGAAAAGATGTGGGATAAAGGTTGGAAATTTACCTTGAGTTGTCATTTGAAAGAATTTTTTTATAAGATGATATATTGTTGGTATTAACTCCAGAAAAATTTCAAACATTTATAAATGTACCTCCAGTATATGTTAGAAGTGTCAGAGAAAAGAAGGGATCTTTTATCACATATGGTGGACTTGTGAAAGAGTGAAAAAGCTATGGTTGTGAATAAACAAAGTGATATAATAGATATTAAAATTTTAAAATTAATTGAAACCTGGTTTGTTTGTTTTTTTGGTTGGTTGGTTGGACTTGAACAAATGGAACAAATGCTTTGCTGGAACAAATGGAAAAGAAGAGTGGGGAAGTTATACAATATATGGTTACAGCAGCTTTATATTTGTAGTCTGTAGTATTGTAGCCTTGCATGTAGTTTTAAATATTTGTGTTTTAATAAAAACATTAATTTTTAAAAGACCTTTTTGCAACATAAATTATAAGCCATAAATTATAAGGTGTAGAGCAGAGACAAGTTTCTGTTTATATCTCTGTTCTGTAGCTTTCTTTTTCTGGATAGTAGCATTTTTTAGATTATCAGGATGCCTGGAAGCAGGGACAACATGCACACAAACACACATATACCAGCAACAATAATAATAATACATCAATCCTAGATGGCAGTTATGCTCTCTTACCCTACTCAGGCACGCCGATCTTAATTATATCACATCTAGGGCAGAGTTCCATGTAAAAATTACGTTATTAACCTGAAAGAAGAGATATAAGGAAAAGGTTACAAAGAAGTAACAAGAATACCTAGCAATGTCATTATATAACACTTCCAAATGTTCAAAGTGCCTCATATACATTTTCTCAATATGCCTTTCAATAGCCTCCAATAAAACAAATAAAAGGAGGAAAGAAGAATAGAAATTTAAATTATTCACTGCTGTATTTTGTAAAGTCACATTTCATGTGAATGAATCTTGTCTTTAAAAGAGATTAGAATCTAGAAACAAGGAAGTCGGCTGTAAGCAGGCTGAACTCAAGTCCAAAAACCTGTCAATGAACAAGCACAAATTATTACTTTTAGAAACAACTTCTTCCTTCACAATAACTAATCCCTGTGTGGCATAGACTTAACATTCCCCAGCTCCCTGACTAGATTTGGGAGAAAGGGAGGTTTGGGCTCCAGCCCTCCCTCACACGCTGTGAAACTATGGTTAAGAAGCGAAATTTCCTGCTTATTATTAGTACCGAAAACATAACAGTACACCTTGATTCAAACACTGTCACACAACCAGTCCTTGAATGGAGAGATTCATCCATGAAAAAGAGAAGAAGAAGAAGAAAATAGTGTAAGCGTATGGAGCCCTCCTAGCCAGTCATGTTTTAGCCTAGAGATCATGTGTGTGATTTGGACTCTCGGACAAGCATTATCTATGAAAAATCTGCAATGAAAAATTTGATTCATTTTTGGAATAAGGCTTTAACTCTGATTTGTTGTCGCTTTGTACCTTCAAATTGTTTCCAATTTATGGTGGCCCTAGGGTGAACCTATAATGGGTTTTTCTTGGCAAGATTTTCTCAGAAGCATGATTTGCTTTTGCTTCTCTCTGAGGCTGAGAGAGTATGACTTGTCCAAGGTCACTCAGTGGGTTTCCATGGCCAAGAGGGATTTGAACCCTGGTCACTAGAGCTGTAGTCCAACGCTCAAACTACTATACCATACTGGCTCTCCTTTAACATTGATACATGTGGCTCAATTAATATGTCTCAAATTATGTCTGCAATATAGACCAAGAGCAAGAGAGCATATTGCTTTCCAGACCATCTTGTAAAGCAGGAGTGGGCAAATGCAGTTCTCCTGATGTTGGACCACAGCTTACAGCCATGTTGGCCAGTATAGCCAATGTAGAAGGATGCTGGAAATAGCAGTCCAACCACATCTGGAAGGTCATACTTTCACCACTCTTGTGGGAAAGAGATGATAATCACATCAATTTCCTGCTGGCAGTCTTCCTGCTAATATTACCTTCACACATAAAGAAACAGAACAGTTAATGAATCAGTCCATTTTGTTCATCTGGGTATGAAAGTTGTGATTATATAGGAGTTTCTTAGTGACCAACATCTTATTTTGCAATACTGGGAATCTAGCCCCCAGTCAAAGACAATGAGCTTCTCTTATTGGCATGCACAGAATGTGTTGTGTTCCAGAAAACAAGGGAAATTGTCCACTTGTAATGAAATCTGGCACAGAATTCAGAAATATATTTTCTGCATAGCCTAATGTTTTCTTTTTTTTAAAAATCACACCGTCACTTTCTGCTTTTTATCAGTGTCCTGTGGTTGTACTTTGTAATCTAAAGGAGAATATTTCAAGATAGGAGTACATTATTCTGGAAACTAGTCCAGCACTATATAGAACAAAACAAGAGTACATAAATCTCCAGTGGACCCACTTTGAGTTCTTCTGGATTATTTAAAGATCTTGTAGATGGCAAATTTGGAATCAATTAATAATTTATTGACAGCAGCTCAAATTTCAACAGCCTCATTTAAAAAAAAAAAAAGAGCATTCCCTTCCTTTTTTCACCCTAATTATCTGAATGGCTTGTTAGGATATAGGCATTGTGATCATGATAAAATTGATGTGTTACAGCCATACCTCAGTTAACAAAGCCTCTAACTCCTTTTTATAAATTCTTTTTATGCTTGTCCAGCCCCCCCCCCCTTTTCATTGTCAGACTGTGTCTAGCTGAAAGGGATTTTTTAAGCATTGTCAGCGCTGGGAGGATGGTGAAAGAGGTCTGAAGACTTTCTGTGCTGGTTTACAGGAGCATATTTGAAGTGACCAATGCAGTAAAGCTTGAGTTAGGGAAGAATGTGATTCTCTTTTAGCTGATCTTGGTGTATCTGTGCATGCCTTCTTACAACAAGCAAGGTAAACAGCAGCTGCCTCCAGAAACTGTTACTGAGTATGCATAAGCAACAAAACAGAGAGAAAAGGGTAGAGAGAACACACAAACCTTCCTCAGAAGCTCAAAAAATCATAGATCTTTGGCTACCAAAATGAAAATCATAAGAAAAGTGGAGATTGGTGAAAGAAAATGTAATCCCTGGATGCATTTTGGAAGAGGCTTTCAAGTAGTTCTAAAATGTTAAAATAATTTTGTTTACTAATGCAAGGCTAAACGGGGGGGGATGCAGACGAGCAGCCTTAGGCCGCCCCCGGAAGCGGAGGATTGAGGCCAAGGCTGCCAGACACCTCAGCCCCGATCCTCCCTTGCGCCACCTGCAAAAGGAGCACTAAAATAGTGCTCCTTCCGCAAGCTGTGAAAGGGGCACCGCAAGAGGCATGGCGTGCCTCTTCAGCATCTCTTCCAGCTCAGCGTGTCCAGACACTGAGCCAGAAGGATGTAATTGGAGCGCCCGTCATGTGGATGGGCTGTCGCTCCGATGACGCCCTCAGGAAGGGGACGGGGTGCCCAGAGTCCAGCTGCCCCTCCCCTTCCTGGGATTGAAGATGGTGAAGATGTGAGCTGCCTCGATTGATCCCAAAGGGGCAGGGTACCACTCAATTATTATTATTATTATTATTATTATTATTATTATTATTATTATTTATTTTGTTTCTCATGTGCACATCGTTAGTTTTGAATAAAGTATTTGCTGAAACATGTTCAACAGCTCTTCTTTTTTTGTATTATAGGAACCAATTCCTATTCTTTCTATGTTATTTCTCCTTCTAGTACTAAATTTTCTGTTAATTCAAACAAAAATCCACTAAATGGCCAACACAGCTTCCCCTGCAAATTTTGTTATTTATTTATTTGATTGATTGATTGATTGATTTCTATCCCACCTTTCTCCCCAAAAGGGACCCAAGGCAGCTCACAAATAAAACTTCTAAAAACATATTACAATAAAACAATTAAAAATATCATCTAAAACCAATATAAAATTACAGACATTAAAACCACACTAAAACCATGATACCCACCCTATATAACAAACACCCGCCACCCATAATTATATATCAAAAGCTTGCCTGAATAAAGCCATTTTTTGCTTGCCAACAAAAGAAAAAGAAGTAATGTCCAGGAACCCAGCTACTGAGGTATACCTGTTTAAAACTGGAGTGAAAATCATGTCAAAGCAAAGTGCTAGGCCACATAGCCAATGGTACAATATGTTGGGAGTTGCAGTCTAGGAATTGTTCTTGCTGTGTGCCTTCAAGTCATTTCTGACTGATGGTGATTCTAAGAGAAATCTGTCATGGGGTTTTCTTGACAAGATTTGTTCAGAGGGAGCTTGCCATTCCCTTCCTCTGAGGGCAAGAAAGTGTGACTTGTGCAAGGTCACCCAGTGGGTTTATATGGCTAAGCTGAGATTCGAACCCTGGTCTACCAGTGTCTTAGGCCCTAAGCAGACGACTAATAAAGTCGTCTTCTGGGCAGAGAAGAGGAGGGGCAGCCGCACGAACGGCGCCCCTTCCTCTCTCCGAGGTCGCCCCCAGATGCGCCGGCCGTCCGCACGACCGGCGCATTGGGGATGACCTCACGCCGCGGCGACCACATGCGCCGCAGCGGAAAAGACAGCGAAAGTGCGCCCGCCGCTTTTAGTGCGCACTTTCGCTGTCTTGAGGAAGGAGCGCTGATTTAGCGCTCCTTCCAGGGTCGCCGACGGTGCGCCGTGGTGCGGCTGCCGCGGTTCAGCGGCGCTCCGTCCCGCGGCGCACGGGAAGCTCCCGTCTGCTTCCCCCCGTCCAACATCGAGACTACACTACACCACACTGTCTCTGTCTGAGCTTCACTTATTATATAAGATGGATGGGAGAAAAATTATATTTGAATGTTAAGAGGTGTCAAGAGGTGGAGAAGTTTACAGCAGCAGAAAATATACATCCCATGCACTCTTTTCATTGATTTAAATCTGTCTGCTTTAATGTATGTATATTGCTGAGTTTTCTGCAAAACCTAACATCAGTGAACCTCAAGTGTTTCTATGCATTATATTATGCAAATATATCAGTAAAGAAATAAAAGTTTTAAAAGTTAGACTATTTTTACTGATATGACTTTATTATGCACTCAGTTTGTGTTGTATTATCTTTATGATAATCTCAATAAATCACTAGAAGAGAAAGAGGTTTGCTGTGTCTTACCTTGAAGTAGACTAGTCTAACTACCTTCTGCAAAAGTCTACCCTGGCTGTCTCCAGGTAATTTTATTTATATTTAAAGATGCACATGCAATGAGGCATAAATTTAATTTAAAATCTTGCTTCAACAACAGTGTGTTTCAATAACCTGAGAATGCCCAAGGAACGTCACTGTCAGCAAAACACTCCCTGAAATCTGGTCGGAGAACCACTCAAGATAAAGCAAGAATGCCTAAACAAATAAGCTTTTTGTGTGTGAGCAGAAAGCAAATGCATTAACAGAAACAGAGACAAACATGTCTGATTCTAGAAATGGGAGCAATGAATTGAGTACACCACCTGCAGTAAATTAAATAGGGAGTGTTGAAAAGGTAAAATCTGAGTAAACATTTTCAGAATTTGGCCAGCAAAAAAAAATATCCACTTTTTAAGTCACTTTGATAATGCAAAATTAATCTAAGTACTGTAGTACATTTTCAATAAAGTCTGGCAGCTTTAATATCTTTCACAGTGGAAGGTTAGAGTTTCCTACTCCCACAAAACAAACACAGGACAATTCCTCAGAATCAGGACCTTGACCCTTAGTTTTTCCAAAGAGATTCTTTCAACATTTTCTTACTATCCCCCTGCACTATCTTCTCATTCTTCCTACCTGAACCAATTTATCCCTTTATAGATCACATTTTTCCATAGTCCATTCTCTAATTGCCTTTTGATTTTTTTAAAATGAAACCTATTCCTATCTTAGTTTATACTTCTATCTTTATTCTTCTGGCTTGTATCTGCCAGTTTTGATGGAAGTGACATACTCTCTTATTTAAAAAAAAATGAGTGTCACTTCCATCAAAAATGGGCAAACGTAAGCCAGAAGAATAAAGATGAAGAATTTATGCCTAGAAAAGTGCAACAGACAAGAAAAAATAATAATGAGGAGGCTGAACTCTTAAAACTTCATTTCAAACCCTGAGACTTGACAGCCCTAAAACATTATAGTAATCATTTATTTTAATATACATTTTCTATGGTCAATCTACTAACAGTATTGGCTTCAAAAAGCAATATGCTTTGCTGAATTAGGTAAGCTCAGTATTTGGAGAGGCAGAAAGCAAAGGGCAGGGACAAAAAAAGAGAGGAAACCCCATTCCAGGTCCAGCCAAGGAATGAAAGCGCTAGCAACAGATAATCAAGGAGGTAGCCTTGACTCTAGAAGGGTATACAGGATTTTCTCTGTATAAAAGTGTCAACTAGGAAAGCCATACATATGCGCACACACATATTTATGGATCAGAACAAGTGCTAGAACTTTGTTGTCGTTGTGTGCCTCCAAGTCATTTTTTACTTACGGCAACCCTAAGGCGAATCGACCACAGGGCTTTCTTGGCAAGTTTCATCAGAGGGGGTTTGCCATTGCCATCGTCTGAGACTGAGAGACTGTACCTTCCACAAGGTCACAGCACTACAACTGTGAAAAGTTGATCTAGTGATTATAAAAGAAAGCAAAGAAACTTCTAGATCAACAGCAGAGAAACTGAGATGAGTATCACCCCTCTCAGTCAAGCAACATTGAGCA